TAGGAAGAGAGGACGCAGGAGGAGACGGCAGCGGGACACGCTGAGGAGCAGTAGAGGGACGCAGAGTCATGTAGTGAGTGCCAGGGACAGGAGGAGGACGCTCACGTGGGACACGACGACCAGTGCGAGCAGGACGGACAGGCGACGCAGGACGAGACTCAGGCCCACGACGCTCTGTAAGACCTCCTGTGGGACCAGTGTAAGGAGAGGGAGCAGGGAGAGGCGAGGCAGGCGGTAACTGTGACTGCGACTGGACAGGCGGAGGACACTCGACGGAGGGAGGAGGACAAGGAGGAGGAGCCTGACCAAGAACCTGCTGAAGGAGCGGTACAAAGTACGGTCGCGGCCGCGCAGCGTCGCCAGAGCCAGTAGAGACACCAGCGGCAGGGTCCTCAGTACCAGTAGTAGCTCCACCGCTCGGGTCCTCAGCACCAGCAGCAGCTCCACCGCTCGGGTCCTCAGCACCAGCAGCAGCTCCACTGCCCGGGTCCTCAGCACCAGCAGCAGCTCCACTGCTCGGGTCCTCAGCACCAGCAGGAACTCCACCAGCCGGGTCCTCAGCACCAGCAGCAGCCCCAACGCCCGGGTCCTTAGCACCAGCAGCAGCGCCACCGCTCGGGTCCTCAGCACCAGGAGCCGCACCACCGCTCGGGTCTGCAGCACCAGCAGCAGCTCCACCAGTCGGGTCCGCAGCACCAGCAGCAGCTCCAACGGCCGGGTCCTCAGCACCAGGAGCACCACTCCGAAGACTGCAGCGCCTCGTGTACCACTCTCGGATCTGCTGGAGGGGGGGGAGCTCCCGGGTAGGGGGGGAAGCACCGCGACCAGCTCCAGCAGTACCTCTCCGGAGGCGGCAGTACTGTAGGTACCTCTCCTGCAGCCGCTGTGAGGAGAGGGCTCCTCCAGATGGAGTACCCCCAGACTCAGCACCCCCAGGCTCCACACTCGCAGACTCAGCACCCCCAGGCTCCGCACCTCCAGGCTCAGCACCCCCAGGCTCCGCACCCCCAGACTCAGCACTCCCAGGCTCAGCACCCCCAGACGCAGCACCCCCAGGCTCAGCACCCCCAGGCTCAGCACCCCCAGTAGGACGAGAGTCAACAGCTACCTCGACAGGCTCACTCGGGTCTACCTGGGACACACCTGAGGGAGCGGCACCCTGAGGGGGGAGGGGGTCTGGTACCTCAGCACCTGGAGCGAGGAAGAGAGGCGGGGGGGGGAGTGGGGCAGTGCGGTAGGGGAAGAGGCGGTAGTAGGGGACGGACTCGTCAAAAGTGACGTCCTGAGAGGCCAGGACACGACGCGAGGTGGCGTGGTAGAACTGCCAACCAGGCGCGTCCGGGACAAAGCCAAGGAAGACACAGGGGACAGCGCGACGGGAGAGCTTGTCCGCGGACGTGTCGCGAACAAAAGCTCGGGATCCCCAGACCCGAAAACGCGACGCATCGCCAGCCTCTCCCGTCCAACGCAGTGTCGGAGAAGTCTCCGGTAAGGAGACACGGGGCCAGAGGTTGAGCTGATGCGCAGCGTATCGGACAGCAAACGGCCACAGAAAGTGGGGGGCAGCCGCATGAACCAAGGAGGTACGAGCGACCTCCATGACCAAGCCAATGCGGCGCTCAGCAACCCCATTCTGCTGTGGAGAGGCCGGAAGCGTGAACGACTGCGCAATGCCCTCCTGCTGACAGAAGGCCTCCAAGAGGCCAGAGGAAAACTCCCCGCCTCTGTCAGAGTGCAGACGCAGGACAGGGAAGTCGGAGCGGAAACGCTCACTGAGCTGGAGACGAGATCTGCGGATCCAAGGGATCAAGACATCAGGGACGTCACCCTTGGTGCGCAAGGGGAAGACCGTGGTGTAGCGCGAGAAGTCATCAACAACAATCAGGAAGTACCTCTCCTGACCCTGACCACGGACGCGGGCTGGGCCCCACACGTCCATGTGGAGTGTCTGCAAAGGAGCAGTCGTCGGGGGAAAGGAGGAGGAGTGAGGAGCGGCGCGCTGCCGCCCCTCGACACAGGGAAGACAGGGAGGAGCAGGCGAGGGTGGGAGGGGAGGGAGAACCCTGGGAAGACCAGCAACAAGGTCCCGTTTGTGCATGGCCCGAAGGCGCTGCACAGACGGGTGACCAAGGCGGTGGTGCCAGAGGACAGTCTCGTGCGCCAGAGAGCGACACGAGTAGGGGGCGGACAGCTGACCTGACGCAGACGCAGACGCGGACGCAGCTACCTGAGGGGACTCAGTAGTCAGTGTGTACAGGTCCGACCCCGGCTGCCGAGTGAAGGTAGCCAGGTGACGGCCCGTCCGAGCACACGTGCAGTGTGTCACGCGCTCGTAGGCAGGGGTGAACTGGTGAACACCCACGTCCTGGAGCGCACTACCCGCCACCAAGTTCGTAGAGAACGAGGGGAGGTAGAGACCGGACAGTGTGCCTGACGGGACCGCAGGACAAGGAAGGACAGTGGAGGAGGTCGCAAGGACCGGACCCCCAGAGGGGTCAGCGAGAGAGACAGCAACTGGCCGAGCGAGTGGCTCAAGGACAGTGCGGTCACGAAAGAAGGAGCGAGAAGCACCTGAGTCCAGTGTGAAGGTGTGCAGTGCCGCAGTCGACTCAGTACCAGGGGGCACAGACTCACGAGCACCTAGAGCAGCAGCCTCACCAGGACCTGGGGCAGCAGACTCACTAGCACCTAGAGCGGCAGTCGGACTGGTCAGAATGCCCGGGTCGGGCGGAACACGCAAGTACTGAGCACCCTCTCCACTAGTAAACATCGCATACATGGCAGTGAGAATAGCATCAAAGTCTAGAGCCCAGATATCAACCCCCTGCCTCTCCAGATCAGCCCAGCGGGGCAGCTCAGCGCCAGCAGGAAACTGGGCGCGCCATGCGTCGGTAAGGCGCGAGAAACAGCGCTGCGTGGGGTGCGGCTTTCCACACGTCTGGCCAGCGCGGTCACCAGTGCGGATGACGTACGTGCAGGTAAAGCCACCCGCCCCCCCCCGCTGCGAATACCACTCACGTGCCTCCTGAAGCGACGGGGCGTGCTGCTGGCTCTGGCCACCGCCAGCGCCTCCACGACCACCACCGCCGCCGCCACCGCCCCGGCCACCTCCACCCCTGCCGCCGCCACGACCACCTCCGCCTCCGCTGCCGCCTCCGCCCCTGCCACCGCTCCCGCCGCTGCTGTCACCACCCCCACTGCCGCCACTAGCCTCTCCAGTCCCACCTCCACCCCCACCGCCACCACCCTCGCCTCCCCCGCCGCCACCTCCACCCTTGCCCCCTTTGCCCCTGCGGCGCCCGCTCGGAGCAGACGCGGTCCCGACCTTCTCAGCACCAAGGAGGTCGACAGCAGCAGCAGAGGCGACAGAGGGGAGGAGAGGGGAAGGGGAACACCCCTCAAAGAACGGGGTGCGGGGGTCGCCACGAGAGGTGCCTACAGCGACGATGCTCGCCTCAGCTGCAAGCAATTCCTTCTCGAGGAGGGCAATGGTGAGCTCAGTGGGAGAGCGAGCGAGGAAGTGATCCCTGACCGCGAGCAGAGAGTCAGGGAGGCGGGTGACGATGTGGTAGAGCGTGATCCAGAGCGGGGGGGGTTGCTGGCAAGGAACTCGTCAGGCATAGCAGCGCGAAAGCGGGCCTCACTGGTCCTGAGGTGGGTGATGAGGTCAGCGACTGTGCTGAAGGAGGCCAGGTCGGGGAACAGGTAGGGGAGGGTGAGGCGGCCTAGTGCGGCAGAGGCAGGTGAGGAGTAACGAGCAACTACAGCAGTGTACAGGTCCTTAGCAGTCTTGTGCTGGCCAAAGTGCTCGCGCTCATCGAGCGGCAGGGAGTTGCGAATAGCGAAGCGAGCGTGGGCGTCACGAGTCTGCCACTGTGAGCGCTGAGTGCTGTCTGCAGTGGTAGGAGGGGCAGTAGCGTGACCGAGGGCATGATCGTACAGCGAAATATCCTCCTTGGCAGTGAGCTGTAGGAAGAGGTGCAGGTCATCTAGCCAGGTGTCAAACTTCACTGGGCGGCCCTCAGCATCGAAAGCAAGCACGGGAGGACTGGCCATAGTGGCAGCAGTAGTAGCAGTAGGAGCAGTAGTAGTAGCAGTAGGAGAAATAGGAGGAGCAGCAGTATCGACGGGGCTGCTGGTACGGGCGGCGCGGCTCGGTCTGACGGCGCGGCTCGGTTCAGGTAGGGCGGCGCGGCTCGGTCGGGTGGCGCGGCTCGGTTCAGGTAGGGCGGCGCGGCTCGGTTCGGGCTGCGCGGCTGCGCGGAGTCGCTAAGTGGGGCGGTACGGGGCCGCGGGGGCCTCTAAGCGGGGCTCGACGGGGCCGTGGGGCCGCTAAGCGGGGCGCAGCAGGGTCGCGGGGCCGTGAGGTGGCGGGCGACGGGGCCGCGGGGCCTCTAGGCTAGGTTCGACGGGGCCGCAGGGCCGCTAGACGGGGTGCGCGCGGGGCCGCGGGGCCTCTAGGTGTGGTCCGACGGGGCCGCGGGGCCGCTAAACGGGGTGCGCGCGGGGTCGACGGGGCCGTAAGCGGGGCGCGTGCGGGACCGACGGGGCCGTGAAGCGGGGCCTATTACGGGGTCGCGCGCGGGTCGACGGGGCCAAACGGGCCGGAATCGGGGCGCGCGCGGGTTCGACGGGGCCACTAAGGGGCAGCGCGAGAGTCGCTAAGGGGCGGCACGAGGGGTCGACGGGGCCTTAAGGGGCCGTACACGAGGGCGCACGAGGGCGCTGAGGGGGAGGCGCTAACGCAGCACTCCGACAGTAGGGCGCACTAAGGCGCTAGGAAGCAGTTAGTAGAGGTGGGCCCGAAAAAAAAACTTAGGTCCTAGCGAAGGACCTGCTCTGAAACCATGTCAGAAGAACTGAACGAGGAATGAATGAACTAGCAGTGAAATGAGTACAAGTACCTAACCCTAGAATTGTGTACCCCCTATAGGCTAACCCACTGCAGCCTAAACAAGCACAACACATATAATGTTTGACAGGGTGTCCTTGGTACGGTGATGGCCATTGGGAGTATACAGTGGAGCGGTTTACCAGGGAAGAGCCGTGCCTCACGCGGTATGCGGTTTGTTGTGTGCATGTGGGCGTCACGTGCAGGCAATCAAGACGAGGAAACCGGTGCTTACAAAGAAGTATCGGATCATGCGCATAGGGGGGGAGTCGGATCCAGTGTACAACGAGTACACCGCCGCGCTTGGAGACGAGATGAAGGGGATGGCCGATGAGTTCAAGGCGTTGGGGCTGTCTACCAACAACGTGCAGGTGAGGTGATGATGTGGTAGCGTTACATGACGCATCCGGGGTTGTCACGTTGCGTGTCATTGCACTCATGATGGTATCTGATGATGGATTGGGTTCCACGGTGTGACAGGTCCACACGGCGGTGGCCATTCCGCGCACAAGGGGCGGGGAGCTAGTGGCAAAAGGGACATTTGTGAAGGCGTCTCCCCGAGAGAGGTGGTATTCGGACGTGGCACTGCTGAACAACAAGAAGGGGGACTGGTTTGCAAGATGTCTGTGCATCTTCAGGGCGGTTGACCGTGATGGGGAGTGGAAGGGGTACGCATACGTGCGGTACTATGAGGGGGCGGGAAGATGCAAGCTTACGGGGTGCAAGCAGCTGCACAAGAAAGTGGAGAAGGTGAGGTACTCGGTGGTGGAGTTGAGGAGCCTGCAGAGAGTGGTGCACGTGTGCCCTTCGTATAGCAACAAGAATGTGCAATTAGTGAACAGGTTTTTGCTATGTGAGTGACGATGCATGTTGGTGGGGTGGAACGGCAGTGCTGATCCACATGGTTGGCAAACACCGCGCTATACGATTTAGCTGTGTGGAATGCAGGATTGATGGGTACAGGAATGCAGTAGGTAAACGAAATAGTGGTTGGAATTGATGGTGACATGGGTATGGTGTGTTGCAGTTCGCGAAAGGCCAAAGGCACGGATGATATAATGTGTACACATGTCTATGGCAATCAGATGGCCGATTGTGCATGGGTAGGCCGCACAGATGACGTATGCTAAATGTTGTTGCAGGCGTTTAAACAGAATGGTAATTGTGCTTGCAGTTTGAATGTCAGGTACATAACGAGTATGAGTACAGTTGACGTTTGTGCGGTCGAGGTTGACGCGCTTCAATGTGTGGTGGTGTGAACGAACGAGCACATGCCGTTGGCTGGTCGGATATGGGTGACGCGTACGTGGCATCCGGGACGCGAGATGGCCTATCTGAATGTAACAGGTGGGCGTTTCACATGTGTGCGTTATCGTCGAGCGGCGCAGGGGTAGTGTTCTGTTGGTTGTGTGGCGCATGTCAATCGATGTACGCAGTGTGCGTACAGGGGCAAAATGGGGGTACGTTCCGGTAGAATGGAACGTATATAGTACGGTGTCTTCCGGCCTTCAACGCATAATTGCCAACCTGGTTGTCAGAGTGCTACAATGGGTGACCTGAAGGGACTGCTGGCTACCGCGCACCCGGACGACGTGTTTTGCTTCCACGAGATTAATTTTCTCCCGAGCCGGCTTCCGAAGACGTACATTCCGGACAAGCGTGTTGGGGCAGAGCGGATTGTCAGCGTCGGCATACTTTACAACGCGACGGGGAGTTGCTCCGCGGTGCCTCTGGTTGTTCTATCGCCGTACGATAGGCCCGAGCGCAGGCGAGGGTGCGCGGCATGTTGCAAGGTGGCCGTCCGGTATACGCATCGCGGGCGGTTGACGCCGGAGGTATGGGACAATGTATAATCAGTGTGCACCGTGCGCGTATGACGTGTGCTTCAAATGTGTGCACGCCGTACATCTGATGGTGTTATGCGTTCTGTCTGATGGTGTGCACACAGGTGTTCACGGAGTTCGTGGAGACTGTCAATGGTGTGCACTTCAGCCGTGATCGCAACACCCTCATCCTAACCATTCACGAGGCGCATCGCATCACAGGCGAGGTCGCGCGACCCGTCACGGAGCACGGCTTTAGTGTGTAGCACCTGACCAACACCCGAATCGTCAACATTCGTGGGTCGGTTCCTGAAGGGGGCCTTCCGCACCTCCAGGGAGTGGAGGATGCGCTGAAGGGCCATTACCGCGTTATGCTCATGAAGCGTGCGATAGCGGCGAAGCGGTTCCAGTTCGACTATTCGGCATCCATCACTGACGTGGATTATGGCCTCATGCTCGAGTGGCTGGGAGAAGCGTGGACTCGCGTGCGCGCAGCAACCATGCAGAGGAGCTGGTGGCGCGCCGGATGCGTGCCCCCGAGCTGGCCGCCACTGATGGCGTACCTGAGTGACACGAGCGCGACGGGCATGTTTGAGCCCCTTATTGCGATATGCGTCGAGCTGCAGTTGCTCATCGAGAAGTTCAAGATGAGGCCTGCGTGCTATATGACGGCGGCCGAGTTCGTCAACTGCGACGCGGGACTCTGCGTGGAGCAGGGGTTCAGGGCCACACCTGCGGCCAGCGCATCGGATGACTCGTCGGGCGAGATGAGTCTGCCAGACGGCCCACTGCTGCGTGACGAGCGCAGCAGGCGGCGCGTGATTCGCAACGTAACAAATGCGTACGTGGAGCGTGCCGACGCGCTCGGCATTCCCCCGGCCCTCGTGCCAGCAGAGGTCGGAGCATCTAACCAGGAGGTGATTTCCCGCCTCGGCAGGACGCCAGTCAAGCGTGCGCGCGCGGGGATGCGCACTGAGGACGTGCCAGACCCAGCGGTGTGCGAGACTGAGGACGGCGAGTGATGCGAGGATCGTGCAGTGGGGCAAAGTAGTGGGAGTTGTGTGTGCGCGGGACCGTACGACTGGTTGACGGGTGTAGGGTTGTCTTGTTGATGTAATAGTGGTTGTTATGGGAGAACATTTGGAATGGAGTTTTCAACCCATGTTTGGCATTTGTGTGTAAGCGTCAACTTTGTTTGGGATAAGAGGTTGTACAGTGACAGAATGGACGAACCGCACTTGCAATACCGCGGAAATTTGTGCTAGAAATTTGAGAGGGGGAGAGCGTCTCGGGGTGTAGGTGTGCGATTCGGGTTTCCGAAAGCTTCACGGAATTGTTGCTGTGTAGTCACTATTTTCCGTATGATGTACTCGAGCGTTTTTGGTGTGCGGAATGTTGCGATTTGAGTGCGTTGTTTTCCCGCAGCTTTCCGCAACATTCTCGCAAGGCCGACGCAGAAAAACCTTCGGAGGCCAAAAAACGCAGTTTTCCTTTTTCGCGATGTCGCTCCTCGCTGCTCCTTGCTTCTCATTGTTGGTCCTCGTTCGATCCTCGTTTCCCAGCTTCCTGCACCACAGAGAACGACTTAAAGGCGTAAGTAAATGATCTCGATAAGAAGAGGAATAAAAACGAACGAGCGGAATAATAATAAAGCGGAAAGAAAGCTGAAAGAAACGATGAAGAGGAAGAGAAACAAAACCGTGCGCCGTTCGGAGAAGCGTTGTCCGTCGGCAGAGATTCCGCCACCATGCGTCACGCGAGAAGGACCACCATTCCTCCTCGAAGATCGCGCCGTGAAGTTGTGCTCCTCGCTCCACCCGCTTCGCACACCACCAGCGCGACTCCTCCTGGACTCCTTCTGCTGAACGCACCAAGAATAAACGAAGTAAGTAAGTGATCTCGAGAAGGATAAGAATAAGAAACGAACAAGCGGAAAAAAAAAATGAAGCTAAAAAAAAGCTGAAAGAAACGATGAAGAAGAAGAGAAACAAAACCGTGCGCCGTTCGTCGTGCGATGGGAGAAGCGCCGTCCGACGGCAGAGATTCCGCCACCGTGCGCCACGCGAGAAGGACCACCATTCCTCCTCGAAGATCGCGCCGTGAAGTTGTGCTCTTCGCTCCACCCGCTTCGCACACCACCAGCGCGAATCCTCCTGGACTCCTCCTGCTGAACGCAGCAAGAATAAACGAAGTAAGTAAGTGATCTCGAGAAGGATAAGAATAAGAAACGAATAAGCGGAATAATAATAAAGCTGAAAAGAAGCTGAAAGGAACGACGACGAAGAAGAGAAATAAAACCGTGAGCCGTTCGTCGTGCAATGGGAGAAGCGTCGTCCGACGGCAGAGATTCCGCCACCATGCGCCACGCGAGAAGGACCACCATTCCGCCTCGAAGATCGCGCCGTGAAGTTGTGCTCTTCGCTCCACTCGCTTCGCACACCACCAGCGCGAATCCTCCTGGACTCCTCCTGCTGAACGCGGCAAGAATAAACGAAGTAAGTAAGTGATCTCGAGAAGGATAAGAATAAGAAACGAATAAGCGGAATAATAATAAAGCTGAAAGGAACGATGACGAAGAAGAGAAATAAAACCGTGCGCCGTTCGTCGTGCAATGGGAGAAGCGTCGTCCGACGGCAGAGATTCCGCCACCATGCGCCACGCGAGAAGGACCACCATTCCTCCTAGAAGATCGCGCCGTGAAGTTGTGCTCTTCGCTCCACCCGCTTCGCACACCACCAGCGCGAATCCTCCTGGACTCCTCCTGCTGAACGCACCAAGAATAAACGAAGTAAGTAAGTGATCTCCAGAAGGTTAAGAATAAGAAACGAACAAGCGGAATAATAATAAAGCTGAAAAAAAGCTGAAAGAAACGATGACGAAGAAGAGAAATTAAACCGTCCGCCGTTCGTCGTGCGATGGGAGAAGCGCCGTCCGACGGCAGAGATTCCGTCACCATGCTCCACGCGAGAAGGATCACCACACCATTTCGTCGCGAGCATCGCGCCGTGAAGTAGTCGTCTTCGCCCGGCCGTGGAGAAACAGCGGTAGAGAGATGGCCGTGAAGATCAGTTCGAGAGATTCGCCGTGGAACAGAAATCTTCTTCGGGCAACAAGCTTAGTAAAGGCTCAACCCAGGCAGCAGGCAGCTCGCTCACTCACGACTCTCTACCCAACCCCCCATCCACGCTATCGACTCTCAACGCTGCCGCGTGCCATTGGGTTTTCGCCAGTACTAGCCGGAAGCCTTTCGGAAAGATTAGCTTGCTCAGTGAACAGAATGGTTCATAAGTAGTCATGGAAGAGATGTGCGGGAAGCGGAAGCGCGCTGAGCCATGAGCAAACGCGTGCTCCTCCTTGCTCATCCATGGTCGTCCTTCGGACGCGACCCTTCCCTGACAACAATGTTTGGTTCTTTGGATGGCGGCCGGTGCGCGCGATGCAGAGCGCTTCAAACCAATTGTGATGGTTGTCAGGAAGTATCGAGGTGTGGCACTTGTGAAATGTTTACCCAGTTTGGCTCCATTTTGCTGGGTGCAGGGCGGTGCGACGCAATGCTGTGCTGTCATTTTGGCGGGCGCGGGTTTCTGTAGGAATAGTATGAACAGTTGGATGGTGGTGGACTGACACCTTGAACGGTGACGATTTGCTTGGCATGGTATGGATGGGGCATCATGGCATGGCATGGTGATGGTGTGTATTCTAATGGCCACGGTTTCCCGCCCATGACGGGCAGAGACTAGCACGCTTCGGGAGGGAACTTTCAGCTGTTTACATATTTTGGCGGCCGAATTGGTGTACGCTGTACGAGCGGATCCAATACCTACACAGGTTTGAAAAACACACAAGATTGTGCTCAAGTTGTACTGTGCATCTTTGATTTGGCTGGTTTGGTTTTGCTGTTTGGGTTGGTTTGGTTTTGTTTGGTGTGGTTTGTTGCAACCGAATCGAGAATGTTGGTGGCGCGTATTGCTGTTGGAGTTTTGGCCCCCACCCAGCTATGCATGATGGATGGCACGGATGGACCTAGGGCAGGCTGGAACTTGTTAGGAGGAGCCGTGGCATTTGGTTATTATTCTCCCGACGATAATGTTTTGCGTGAGCTGCGGGACGGCGGTGGTTGGGTTCGTCCAGAAATTAGTGCGTGATTGGGCAAGCAACTATTCAGCTGCCCTCGTAACCCGTTTTGCTGCTGGCAATCCGTGCTGGGCAGCTGAAAATGCAAGGGGTGCTTGGCAAAAATATTTGCGCCAGCCAATAGCAATGAAGGGCGTTTTTGCCATCGTGGCACAACCAGCCAGCACAACCTTATCAACAATCTCGATCGTCCACCTCACATTCTTCCATCTCCCACACCTCATTCTTCAAACCCGTCATTGCCTAGTTATGCTTATCAAGGGTAGCTTGTATTACCTTGCGTTAGTTCCTCCAGATTGAGGGCGCGTGGATTAGTTTCGCGTCGCGTATTTCTAGCGTCCATAATAGGTCGTTTCGTCTGATCTAAGCAGTAGTCCATTATAGGTTAGCCGCTTATCTCGATCCTAAAGCCGCGACTTTAGTATCCGTGGTGCTTCACACGTCTAGTACCATAACTATCATTAATCTCGGATAATAATAGCGTGTTGTAAGGTGCGCGATTCAGGTGTTCGACTGGTAGTCAGTAGTTGCTCAAATCTGACGTTTCCGGGTAAGGTAGCCTTCATGTTTGGGACGAATTAGTAGCGTCGATTTGCGAACGCATTAGCAGTGTCGATTTAAGAGGCTTGTCATGCGAACGCACGCGCAGCGTCGTTTTGAGAGCTCGTCGTTTCACCTCAGTCCATCGCGTCGACCCGTTGGGCAGGCGGATGATGCCTCAGAATGGCGTGCGTTATGAATCGGAGAGGGGGGGGGAGGGGGGGGGGTGGGCGGGAAGAGGGGAGGGGAGGGGAAGGCAGGGGGAATGAGATGGTAATAAACTGACTAGAAACCCCTTTGGTTCCACGGCGAGAGTCGACGCTGGGAAAGCGGGCGGTGGCGCTGAGGCTCCTCGTGGAGCCCCCTTCTCCAATTTGCTCCTTGTGACAGAAGACGTGGCGGACCGCCCATTTCCACGTTTCCCCCCCCCCCCCTCCCCCACTTCCCTTCCCACCGCTTTCTCCCCACCCCTCCCTCCCCTGCTTCCCCTCCCCCCCTCCTTCCCCTTCTGGTTCGTCCAACATCCCCCCGTTCTCCGCTCCCCCCCCCCCCGCTCTCCCCTCATCTCCACCCTCTCCGCTAGTCTCCCTGCGATTTCCGCCTAGCTTCCTCCGCATTCACCCCTCATCCCCCCTCCGCTCTTCCCTACTTTCCCCCGGCCCCCCTCCTGTACACACATTCTCGCTCACCCCACATCCCCTTCCCCCACCATGCCTCCTCTCCCCCCTCACTCGCACCTCATCCTTCACTCCATCCAGCCTGCTTTTCCCCCCTTCCCCCAGTCCTTTCCTCATCTTTCCCCTCACTCACCCCTCGTTTCTCCCTCCCATTCATCCCGTACATCCATAACCCCCCCTCCCTTTTTCCCCCCCACTCCCTCCCCCTCAATCCATCTGCCATCCCCCCTCTGCTCACCCATCATCTCCCCCTACGCAACTCCGTCTCCCACCCCTCACGTCCTCTCTTTCCCCCCATCCTCTCCTTGCCGGCTCACGCCCCACACACCCCTCAACCCCCTTTCCGCCCTTCGCCCATCATTTCCCCTCTGCCTTCGCTCCCTCCTTGGCCTGCACTCGCCCCACACACCCCTCAACCCCCTCATCCCACATGACCTTCGTCTTACCTGTCCCCTTGCCCCTAACAATGTCAACCATCAACCTCATATCGTTCATTTACAACGGTAGCCATTAATCTTACACCAGTCAGCAATTTTCCCCTTCTCTCCTCTCCTCCCTCCCTCCCCAACCCCCCACCTCCCGTTCCCCCCTTACCTTTGTCCACCACGCTCCTCCTCGCTCCTCTGGCGGCTTGCTTGTCGTTGCAGCATGTGAACCGACAACTGCTCAAG